TGCTTGTTTAAAGATTTACTTAGTGGACAGGCAGAGGGACACAGAGAGAGAGAATCTTCCACCCCGGCTTCACTCCCCAGATGGCCGCAGTGGCTGGGGCTGGGACGGATCTTAGCCAGGACCCGGAGCTCCGCCTGGGTGTCTGACACGGGTAGCAGGGGCCGTCAGCCACTGCCCTCCCAGGTGCACCAGCAGGCAGCAGCGTAGCTGGGACTTAAACTGGCTCTGCGCTGTGGGACGCTGGCGTTGCAAGGAGTGGCTTACCCCGCTGGGCCACAACGCCTGCACCCCCAGAGCCCTAACAGCCCTCTGCCACCCAGTGCACATGAGGACCCGAGGTCCAGGAGGCCTGGGCAGGGGGAAGGTACCCGAGATGACGATGCAGGTGTCCCTGGACCGCTGCTTCATGGCCTTGTAGGCGGCGTTGGCCACGGCATAGAGGTGGGGTGGTCGCTCGTACAGTTCACGGCCCTGGTACTTGGCGATGGTCTCGGGCCCATACAGGGGCAGTTCCTGGTAGGGGTTCACGGACACCAGCACCTCACCGATGTAGGTGTAGATGCGACCCTTCTCGAACCTGGACACACAGGACGACTGCTCAGCTCTCACGGCCTCTGGCTGCAGCCCGTGTCGGGCTCGGGCCCTGTCAACCATCCCCCCTCCCTGAGAAGGGGGAGGGGGTGGGTGTCCCTCAGGCCTCCCTCGTGTCATCCTGGGTGAGCTGAGCCCCTCAGTTGCAACCACCACAACCAGTGTGAGATCCACGCTGCTTCCGGGGCCTGGAAGTCCCAGGACTGGACCACCCCGGGTGTGGCAGGGTCAGGGCTGGCTTCTGGGTGGACCCCACAGGACAGGTGGGGAGAGGGGTTGAGAGGAAGGGGCTGGGCTGGAGGAGGGAGAGGGCTCAGCTGCTTCCTGTGTCAGAACCCGGCAAGGGGCCCCGCCCAGCCCCACCCAGACCACACGATGGCACTGGCACTGGCTGTCGCTGTCTGCACCCCAGAGCGTGGCCGGTGGCCGCAGCCCTCCCCCCTCCACAGCCTCAGCCTCCTGCAGCCTGTCACCCTGGGGACCTGCGTCTGTCTCCCCTGACCCTGACCGCTCTGCCTGCCCCTCAGCCTCTGGGCTCCTAGGGTGTGGGATCCGCCCTTCCCCACCTTGTGGCCCTCTCTGGGGCTCCCCCTGCTGCACCACTACCGTCTCTGACCTGGGCGTTCCCTTCGAGCTGTGGCCTTGCCATCCCCATCCTCAGAAAGCCTCGTGTTCGGGAGAACGAGGATGGACATTGCCTGAGCCCTCCTCTCCGCTCTGAGGGCTGCTAGGCTGGGGGCTCCCAGCGCTCAGCAGGTCGCCCACACAGGCCCCAGCAGGCCCCTCCCTGCCCTGTCTGCCACCCGGAGTGGCAACTGGGCTCCTGGGTTCCTTCTACCAGCCCTGCCCTGTGACCCCACACGTGCTCTCCCCCACCCCCACCCGGCCCCCAGCCCCTTGTCAACCAGAGTGAGGTCTGCCTGCCCTGCCCGGGGCTGCCGGGCGAGACCGAGACACGAGGCGGCATCCGCAGTGTCAGCCGGGGTTGGCTACAAGGTGCTCATTTCAGCCCCAGTGTGGTCTGAATGGGAGGTGCGGGCCCCGCCGTGCTGACACGCTCCTTGTTCCCGTGGTGGTTGGGGGGCCCCTAGGGCTGAGGAGCTGGGGCTGGGGGGAGGGAGGGGCCTGGCGCCCCTCCAGGGGTCTACCTGAGCTGCAGGTTCTTCATGAAGTCCTCCATGGTCACCTGGTCCAGGAGCACAAAGTCGGCCTTGCCACACCCGGGCCCTTCCTCGTCCTCCATGCTGCTGCTGGCAACACCCAGGCCGGGGTGCCCCGATCTTCCTGTGCGGCAGGCGGAGGGAAGGGGAGCTCCGGGAGGTCCAGCCCCGACCAGCCTCCCCCAGCGCACTGAAGTAGGAAGTGGGTTCTGGCCCTGGGAGGGGCCGCCCTGCCGATGAGCAGCTCCCTCCCCTGGAGGTGCTCTGAGCAGCTTCCTGCTCCCCGCCCGCCCCCGGGAAGACTCTGCCTAACGGTCCTCAGTCCTCCAGCTGCGGTGCAGGTGCTGGGTCCTCCCCGTGGCCTGCGCAAAGCTCCCGTCCGCCCCAAACCCTGGCTGTGCACTCCACAGGAAGACTGCTTGGCATGATCATGTATCCAACGGCGTGCGGTGTCCACGGAGAACTGAACGCTGCACGCGTTTTACCATGTGCACAGTGAGCCTGCACACAGAAATGAAACAGGGTGGAGTCAGGCCACAGCATTCTCTATGGCAGGGCCGGCAGTCAGGGCTCGCTGTGCCCCAACCTGGGCCGTGAGAAGGGCGGAGACCCTGCGGCGTGGCCTGGGGGCTGGCCTGCAGGAGACCCTGACTGTCCTCGGCCTTGGGCATTCTGGCAGGGGCACCGGGCTGTCCTGGGGCTCCTGGAGGTGCACAGAGGAGGCAGGGAGGGACAGTCGCCCTCACAGCGAGGCCGTGCTGGGGAGGACGGGCAGCTCTCGCCCTCTCCTCGCACAGGGAGGCTGGAGGCAGGTCCCAGTGTTCCCAGACCCGCGTCAGCCAGCCACGCGCCACCCGCGAGCCGTTGTTCTCACAGTGGTCTTTCAGTCATCTCGTTTTTCAACTTTGAGTGTTTGGCGCCGGCCCTGCGGTGCGGCAGGTGAGGTTACGACTCCCGTCCCAGGTCAGAGCTGCGGTGTGGGTCCCAGCTGCTCTGCTTCTGATCCAGCTCCCTGCCGACGCACCCGGGGGCAGCAGACCCTGGGCCCCTGCCGCCCACACGGGAGACCGGACGGTGCTCCTGGCTTCAGCCTGGCCCAGCGCTGACTGTGGCAGCTTTTGGGAAGTGAACCAGCAGATGGAAGATCTCTGTTACTCTGCATTTCAAATAACAAAGTAAATCTTCAACAAACAAAACCCCAACTTTTGAGTTGTCTGGTAAGCAAGTGGATTTTTTTTCTCTCAAAACCTTAAATGAACACACACCTGGCAAAATTGGAAGTGCTATCCCAGCACCTAATAAAGTGAGCCGGGCACCACAGCCGCCTCCGGCGTGGAAAAGGCCCGGATCTGGGAAGCAGCGCTCTGGCTCCTCCCAGGGGGCCCTCGCGGGCCAGCTGGTCAAGTTCCATCTTTCCAAGCTCTGACACGGGGGCCCTCCCAGCCCGGCCTCGTGGCCTGGTGCTTTTAGAGGGTTTCCCGGGCTGAGGGAGGGCCGGGGAGATGTCACCCTCAGCCCTCGTCACAGTTTCACTTCCCCAACCCCAGGAAGTCAGCAGGGGGGGCTGCGCTAATGACCGGGCTTTGTTCCCCTGAAACTCAGGGACACTGGGACCTGTGCTCCCCACACTTTGCCCTGTCGCTGGCCAGTGTTGGATTTCTCCCCCTCCAACCTCTCAGAAACGTCAGCCTCGGCTGGGGTGGAGCCCCTGGTGTGGCCGCAGCCTCGTGGCCGCCTCCACCCTGACGGCTCGCACCGTGACGCGTCCTGTGCTGCCTCATTCGATCCTCGTGACCCACGCAGGAGCCGTTACTCTCCTCTCTCATCCTTGGAAACCGAGGCCCAGAGATGACATCACACCAAGGAAGCTCCTTCCTGGCTCCGCACACTCACACTGCCCAGCAGCTGACTCGGGTCCCGCGGGCCGCCTGGCTCCCAGAGCCCCTTCCCCGGGACATGCTCCTCGCAGGGCCGCCCTGGCAGGGCACACGGCTGCAGCAGGGAGGTGGGGGCAAGGACAGCAGGGAGGGGCACCGCCCACTCAGCCTGCTGGGGGCTGCAGTAACCTCCCTGTGAAGGTCCATGGGGCTCAGCCTGCACCCCCACTGATGCAGTCACCCAGAAAATGGTCCCTTCTGCTCACCCCTCCACATAGCCTAGCTACAGCTAAGGATTTACTTTGGGGGGTCAGCGTTATGGCATGGTGTTAGGCCACCAACTGACACTGGCATCTCACAAGGGCTGGCTTGCGACTTGGCTGCTCCAGCTCCAATCCAGCTCCCTGCTAACAGCCGGGCAGAAGCAGTGGAAGATGGCCCAGGCGATTGGGCTCCTGCACCCACATGAGACGGGACGAGTGCTATGGCTGTGGCCTGGCCCAGTACTGGCAGCCATCGGGAATGAACCAGCAGATGGAAGGCTGTCCCTCCCTCTGGAACCCTACCTCCTCTCACACACGGCAGCGCTGTTTGTAAGCACTGGGCCCAGGCAGGTGGCCTGAACCCCTGGCGGCACCCTCACAGCTCCTGGAATTGGGAGGTGGCTGATGCCAGCTCCCGTTCCCCACCTGGGGTGCAGCTGCTGGTGTGCTGGGGTGTTTCTCAGCAGGGGGCAGCGCCCTGAGTCCTGCTGCAGCCCTCCACGCCACAGGACGCCTGGTCTCAGCCAACTGAGAGCCTGCCAGCCCTGCAGGCAGCCCGCGTGGATGGCGACCAGTCCCTCACGTGAAACACGAAGCGTCATGCACTCGGGGGAGGACTGGGTGTGCCTCTGGGCCCCACTGCACAATTCTGTCTTCAGCCGTGGCTGGGAGGTGAACGGCTTCCACAGGAGGTACCCGAGCACCGCACCAAACAGTGGGGGCTCCCTCGGCCTTGGCCGGCACCTGTGGGGGTGGGCCGTGTGTGCTGTGTGGCCCGGTGGTCAAGAAGCCCACAGCCTGTATCAGAGGGCCTGTGCCTGCTCCAGGCCCCGGCAGACCCTGGGGAGCAGTGGTGCCCAGATCCGGGCCTTTTCCACGCCGGAGGCGGCTGTGGTGCCCGGCTCACGTTATTAGGTGCTCCCCACCAGGGAGACTGGGACCGAGGGCCTGGCTCCCGGCTTCAGCCCAGGCAAGCCCCCGTGTGGGCACCTGCGGAGTGAACCAGCAGACGAAGCAAGCACTCTCCCTAATAAATGAAAATTTAAAGGTGAGCTTTCTCATCTTTGCCTCCAGTATACAGAAAAAGAACCACAGGCTGGACTGCACCGCGCTTTGATTTTGTATTTATTAAGTAGTTCTTGTTTTTCACGGAGACGCCGGGGGCGTGGGTCCGGGTGCAGACAGGCGCCTCGTTCTGGAAGCTGAGACCGCGGCAGCTGCACCTAGGGTTAGAGAAGCTTCGTCAGCCGGCAGCCCAGGCCAGGGCCCACACCGCTGACCCCGGGAAGGGAGCACCGAGACCGCGAACCTGCTCACCAGATGCTCACACGGGAGGCCTTGGTCCCACTGCACGACAGGAGACGCAGATGAGACACACCACGGAGGCCTGCTGTTTAGACGCGGCGACACCACACATGGCCGGCGGTTACCACCTCCTGCGACCTGTGCAGGCGAGAACCACACCTAAATCCCCGAGCCACAGCCCAGAGCACCCCCGCCGAAGCAGACTCTGGGGAAAGACTGTAGACAAACCCAACCCCAAGGCAGTCCCACGCCCTCCCAGGAACCCAGACCCCAGGCCCTGTCTGTCCCAAAGCGGTCTCCTGAGCTTGGGGACGGCAAACCCCCTGGGACCTTCTCTCAGCCAGGTGACTTGGGGCACTCAGCACAGAACCCCGAGGACCAACACAAGTGAGGTGACTTGCTGGCCACAACCCTCCACGTCCTCACCGAGCACAGGCCCCACGGGTCGGCCGGACAGCCACCGAGGGGACCGTTCTTCAGGTCTCCTCCGGCTCTGGCATCCTGGGGGCGTCAGCCGACGTGGCTCGTGCCAGGCGCTGGGGCAGCCATGCAGCAGCGCCGGTGTCAGGGGCCGTGGGCGTCTCCGACGCCTCTCCTTGTGGATAACAAAGCAGCCGCGGCTTTCTGGACCCTGCTGGGAAACATGGAACTCTCCGGTTAGAGACAAAGTCAGCGGCCAGAGCACCACCTCCACTGACCGCCGGGCAAGCCCGTGCCCGCAGGGAGCGCAAGGCCCCTAGTCTCTCACGGCCGGCAAGCAGGCCGGCTCTGCGTAGGGGGACGGCAGTACCTCCTCCATTCCAAGGCTGTCTGTTGCAAAGACCCCCGGGGCCAAGGGCAGCAGGCACCCGACTCTCTCAAGGCCACAGGAACGCGAGACTCACAGGGACGCGTTTCCCCACGGCAGGCCCGGGGCGTTCCGAGGCTGTTCCTGGACTGAAGAGACAGACGGTCAGCTGGAAGCCTTGACCCCGAGAAGAGGTGACCCCTCCCACCAAGAACAAGAGGGCGTCTCCCTCCAGCCCAGGCCTGGCTCAAACCTCGGCCTGCGCGCCCTCAACACCCGATTCCGCCCCTGGGCTCCCCATCTGTACTGGGCCTAGAACACTTCAGAGCTGACTCTGGGCACAAAACAAGAGCCCCCCACGCGCGGGAGCCTTCCTCTCCGCCAGGCCGTGTTTCAGGACCCCACCCCCGCAGCTCCTCCTGCCGAACCTGCAGCACCGGTCGCCGGGGCCCGGCCTCCCCTACTCTGGCTCAGTCCCCAGCCTTGGAAAGGTGTTTAAGGATAAGGTGTACTGAGCCTAGAGCCCGGCCAACACCCTGTGCCCAAGGGTCCTCCCGTGCACGGTCACGTGGCCACCGGGGACCCGACACGTGGCCGGTGCGGACCGCAAGTTCTAGTCACTTTTAACGTCGCTCCGCGTGCGTGTCTACACAGCACCCGGCCCATCAGATCCGGCGGGCGCCGGCAGCTGTCTGAAAGTTCTATAACCTTGCTCCGGATGGGGCAGGGCAAGGCCTCAAACCGTTTCGACACTGCTCTGGCAAGCACCGCAGGAATGCACAGGGTCACGGCAGGCCCAGGCACGCTGGAGGCTTGCGGGCCCCGGACGCCTCCCTGAGCACCAGGAGGGGACCCAGGTGCAGAGACCCCTCAGCGAAGAGGCGTTGCGGCCCAGTCCAGGGGCAGCCTCTCCAGGGACAACCCCGGGCGACGGCGCAGGAGAAGCGGGCGACTCACCGGGGCATCGTGCCGGCGGTCAGCCCTCTCGCCTCCCGGGGCCGTGCACCTGTTCGCGGCTGCGCCTGCGGAGGCACGCGCGCGGTCAGGCCCGGCCTGACCCTCCGGACCCCGGAACTCCCCTACCACACCGCCCACGCGGGTCCCTCAAGGTCACGAGGTCACGCGGGGCCACCTCTCTTGCGCGCCAGGCCCTCCGAGGCACGGGCAGTCGCTCCAAAGCCCAGGCCTCCGCCGGGAACAGCCTCGGCGCGCGGGCAAGGCCGGGCTCCGAACGCCGCCCACGCCTCTCCGCGGCGGCCCGGCCGCCCGTCACCCACTCCCGAGCCCCCCAACTCCTACCTTCTTAGCCCGGGACCGGCGGATACCGCCTGCGCCCCTCGATGGCAGCGGATAAAGACAGCGCCGCTCCAGAGCGCCATAGCCATGCCACCCACGCCACCATCGCTGACGCCATGGCGTAGCCCCGCCCCGACGCCGCGCGGCCACGTGACCATGCCTCGGCAGATGACGTCAGCGCGCTCGCGGGGGCGTGTCCTCAGTGCGCGGAGCCGCGCGGGACTCGGTGCACTGTGCGCCTGCGCGCCTGCTCTTAGTGGGGATTCCGCAGCCCTGCGCGGCCCTTCAGTGACTGGCGAGCGGGAGACCCGTGTGCTCGGGACTGTGGTTTCCCGCCGGGCCCCGTGTGCACCTGGCGGGAAGGTCCCGCGCAGAGCCGTGCTTGGAGCTCCAGCTTTGAGAGTCGAGCCATTCAGCCACCGTGCAGCTGGCAAAGCCCCTTTCTCAGGACGCCGGGGCTGGTGCTCGCACGACTCGCGTGGGGCACCGCGTGCCTTGTCACAGTGCCTGGCTCCAGTCGCAGCCCGTTCCCAAGCCCACCTCCCTGCTAGTGCACCGCAGATGCAGCAGTGGGGGCTCAAGTGCTGTCACCCACGGGGGGCCCCGATGGGGCTCCTCGCTCCTGGCTTCAGCCGGGTGAGGAGGGACTGCTCTCTCTCCCCGCCCCAACTCTGCCTTTCAAATAAATGGATCTTAGAGAGGAGCTTTTCAATACAGATAACCAAAAAGCCCACGAGAGACGGGAGACGCTTGCTTATCCAATATATATATTTTTTTGACAGGCAGAGTTAGTGTGAGAGAGAGAGACAGAGAGAAAGGTCTTCCTTCTGTTGGTTCACTCCCCAAATGGCTGCTACAGCTGGCGCTGCGCTGATCCAAAGCCAGGAGCCAGGTGCTTCCTCCTGGTCTCCCACGTGGGTGCAGGGCCCAAGCACTTGGGCCATCCTCCACTGCAGTCCCGGGCCACAGCAGAGAGCTGGACTGGAAGAGGAGCAACCGGGACTAGAACTCAGGGTGCCGGCGCCGCAGGTGGAGGATTAGCCAAGTGAGCCGAGGCGCCGGCCGCTTATCCAATATTAAAAAGTATGCCAAGACAGAAACACGTATACAAGGTTCACTGCGGTTTTCCTGGAAGCTACGAGACTGGTGCCAGCAGTGTTACGTACCAGGATACTGGAAAGAACTTCCCACAGAGCCACACATCAGCACCAAAGAGCTTCCAGGCCAGTGGCACGCGCCGGGGAGGAGGGAAGCGTTTTCCCTCGACCCTTGGAAGTTCTCGGTTAGGGGCCCTCTGAAAAAAGATAATTAACAAGAGAAGAACCGACAGCGGCTTACTAATGCACACGTCACACATCCGTAGGGGCTCCCCAAGGCAGTGAGTGTGCAGGAGGTGCCTGGGGTTCAGGCTTCGATACCATCTTCATCTGAAAAGAAGGGAGGCGGGGGGGGGGGGGCTGGGGAGGGGCACAGGTCAGCAGGGGAGCCCCTGTGGAGCAGGTTCCGTCTGTGCCCCCCCATGCAGGCCCGAGGGTCTCCAGTGATTCACGCACATAGAGGGAGACCCCCTTACACATGGGCACTTATTTTATAAATGTAAATTGTCCTTCCAAAAGGGTAGTTTATACTGTTTTTGTAGCTTTTGGTTCTCAAAATAATACTTAATGCAAATTAGGCATATTCTGGGGTGACCCATTCTGGTTTCTTCCTCATATTTTAGGGTGGCCTAATCTAGTCTTTTACAGATGTGGACCAGGAGAGGAAACCAGCAGTCTGGCCCTGGAAGAATAGAGCCAAGGAGCCGTCAAGTGGGGCTCCCGGGACGCCCCTGTTGGGGGCCACGCAGGCTGGCGGGACGTCACTAAGAGCCAGAACTTGTTTGTTTCTTCCAAATCCACAGGCTCGGAACTTGGATATCATCAGTTCATTGAGAATTCCCTCCTTCAGCAGTGGGCAGACGGCAAGGATTTGTCTCGGGCACAGCAGTTGGATGGCGTGTGCCCGAGGATAACACGGACGCCCAGTTAGTTGCTTGTGAGCCCTTTGGTTCTCCTACGAGGGAGGTGGGTGATGGGCTGTCAGGGCCAGATGGCAGAAAGGAATAGGAAGGAAAAAACAGCCGTGGAGCAGAGGAGATTCGCTCTTTAAGAAACCAGTGTGGGGCCGATGCCGCGGCTCACCAGGCTAATCCTCCACCTGCGGCGCTGGCACACCAGGTTCTAGTCCCGGTCAGGGCGCCGTATTCTGTCCCGGTTGCCCCTCTCCCAGGCCAGCTTTCTGCTGTGGCCAGGGAGTGCAGTGGAGGATGGCCCAAGTGCTTGGGCCCTGCACCCCATGGGAGACCAGCAGAAGCACCTGGCTACTGGCTTCGGATCAGCGCAGTGCGCCGGCTGCAGTGGCCACTGGAGGGTGAACCAACGGCAAAGGAAGACCTTTCTCTCTCTCTCACTGTCCACTTCTGCCTGTTCCCAAGAAAAAAAGATCTAAAAGAGAATAGAAAAAAATTGGTTGGAACCTGGCAAAGATGCAGGTCTGGGAACATTGGATGGGCCAGGTAAGGGTAAGTTTCCAGAGTTCAGAGGTTTCCAGAAAACAGAGGGTGAGGCTGGGAGCATCTGTGTGCGGCTGTGTCCAGGCGGCGTTGCCGGTGCCCACCCACCTCCGTCTGGCCAGCTGAGCACCAGCACCTCAGAGCTCCCGTGGTGCCAGGAGGGATCCCAGGCTGTCCCTGCCTTCAGAGGAGCTGTCCCAGACGTGGTTGCTGTCAGCATCGCTGACATGGAGGGGAGGCGGCACTGCAGGCGGCGGGGAGGAGGAGGCACTGTGCTGGGAGGCAAAGCCCAAGAAGCCATGTTTGCCAGGGGTCCAGTAACGCCGGCTTGGGCTGGTTCTGAATGATTCCGAGGAGGAGAGGGAGGGAGCGAGGGCTGCCTGAGGCGTGGACAGGTCCCGCGGGGCATGCTCCGAGAGGGGCCTCCGGGCGTTTCCATCACTGAACACAGCAGAGCTGGTGTACCATAGACAGCGCGGTGACTGTGGCTCGGTGGCTCAGTGGCTCAGTGGCTTGAGAGCTTGGAGCCACCAAGCAGGCTGAGGGGTTTACTGGTGAGAAAGCAGTGGCCCTCGGAAGTGGACTGCTGGACACTTCGAGGTCTGACTGTTTTCTGTTACTGCTGCAGTGGTCTTACGAGAGCCAGACCACTTACTAGGACTCAGATCCACACCCACAGCCACGTGTCCGGGACACTGATGCCGGCCCACAGTCACCAGCCCGGGCCACCAGCCTGCTGTATGTCAGACTGGTGGGCAACCAGGCGATGGGTCCAGTGACCACCAAGGAACAGCTGGGACGCCGCTGCTCATTTTGTCCCTGCTTCCAACGTGGGCTCAACCAGAGAAATCCCGGCGCGTTCCCGAAGCAGTGCTGTGAGCTGCTCTGCTCTAGGCCGCTGTCCTGGGGATGGTGGGGGTGGTGAGGCCCCAGTGCGCTGCCCTGGTGTCGCGATGTAGGAAGCTGGATCGTAGCAGCGGTGCTGCTCTGTCTGCCCCGGGAAGCGCTGGAGGCCGGCTCTTAAGTAACCGGACCGAACAGGGCCCGACTGGGGCAGACACAGTACAGCAAAGACTGAATGCAAGGACTACTGACAGAGGCCAGGATCACAGGCGGTAAAAAGACCAAGGACAGCAGACACAGGGCGCAGCCACGGTTCCCAAGGGAGAAGCACCCACCCCGCCGGGCAGTGCCAGCCGAACTCGCGGGAAACCGGCCCCCAGGGTGCCGGGCTGCGAAACTCTCGGCGGCCAGCTTGCTCTGCAGGGGCGCCAGCAGGTGTGCGTCGCAGGTGCCTTCCTGGGGAGGCTGCCCCTCGGGCCTGTCCCACAGACGCGACAGGAACGCCACGGGCTGAGCGCAGTCCCACCGCGGCTGGGACTCCAATACGCGGGGCTTTTGGGGCCCCGCCCGCACATCCTGCTTCCTCAGGGGTCTGGGAACCGGGAGGAGCGAGAAAGGGGCGCCCCGGGGCCGAGACAGTCCAGCGGGACCCAGGAGAGACGGAGCAATAGCCCCGCCCCCGGGCCAGGCCCCGCCCCCGAGCTCCGCCCCCGGCCAGGCCCCGCCCCGCCCGAGCCCCGCCTTCCCGGCGCGCCGCGGACTGCGCGGGCGGAGGCGGCAGAATTGAAAAGTTGGAGCCGCTCCCGCGCGCGCCACCGTGGCCCTGAGGCGCGCAGGGCGGGGTGGGGGCGGGGCCAGCCACTCGCCCTCCCTGAGGGCACGGGGCGGGTGGCCGGCTGGACAGGCTCGCTGGAAGGCCCTGGCAGGGCGGAGGTGCTCGGGGTCCTCCCGAGGGGAGCCGGGTGACCGGGGGCGCGCTCAGCCGCCCTGAAGGGGCGGGGCCAGGGTTAGTGGGCGGGGCCTCGGCGCGGCTTCCTCCTCGAAGGGGCGGGGCCTGGCCGCGGGGCGGTGCGCAGAAGCCCGGAAGTGCGAGCGCGCGGCGGCTGTGGGCGGGGCCTCCCTGCTTGGGGCGGGGCCTGCGCGGGCGGGGCGGCACCCTGGGCCCGGAAGTGCGGGTGCGGGGCGCGGCCGGGGCGGGGACTGCGGGCGGGCGGCGCCGGGAGCGCGGGGCGGCGGGCCCAGGGCGAGCATGTAGTGGCCCTGGCGGCGGGGCTCCCGGGGCGGGCCGGGCGGGCCGCGGGGGCCGCACGCGGCGACATGGAGGAGGAGGGCAAAAAGGGCAAGAAGGTGAGCGGGCCGCGCGGTACCGCGGGGGTCCCTGGGCCGCGGGGCGGGCGGGCCCGGGACAATGGGCAGGGGGCCTGCGGCCGCGGGAGGGAGCGCCGCGCCCTCCGGGGTCCGGCCCGGCCCGGCGGCCTCGTGCGGGGACCGTCGCCGGCGCGGACGCCGTGGGGTGCGCTCGCTGACGTGACGCTGGCAGGGGTTGGAGAGGCTCTGTAGTTTGCGTGGTGTGAAATGTGGCTTTGATTGCAGGCCGGAGGAGTTGATACAGAACTTTTTAGGGAGACGGGTGCGGGGTCCGCGCGCATCCGGGTGGAGCGCGGGTTTTCCAGGGGGTGCTGCTCCATCGCCCGGTCTTGCCTGTCGTGCGCCCGGGTACGCGGGCCTGGCCCTCCGACAGCCCCGCGCCCTCACCTTGTTCGG